GCCGCGGCAGTGTCGCACCACGGCCCAGCGCGCCGGCCGCCACACGCGCCGCGCCCACTGCCACGAGCGCCGCGCCGTCCGAGCCGCGCGCAGCTCCTGCGTCACGCCGCCGCTCTCACTACACTCTCGCATTACTTCTGCCGTCATACGTGGGGCCCATACAGATAGCGTGGGATGAAATCGACGGACGTTTTTAGATGTTGAATCTTACCGTACCCCAGCCGACTTAATCTAATATGGGTATGTATGGCTCTAATAATGAATAAAAAAAAAACTTTGCCGCACCCGGGTGTTACGCCATGACTTCACAAAACAAACTATAGGCTTGCGCTCTTCTATATGCAATAAACGATATATTATTTTTTTATTGCCCTTGTAAGCAGACGAACACGCAGAGCCAAGCCGCTGCCTACACGTCGTGTAGAGCGCGCAGTGTTACCTTCATCAACAAGGGCTCCCGGTCCCGCTGGAAGGCCAGGTCCCGCAGCAGGAAGTAGCGGTGCTGGTGCAGCTTGTGCGCCTGCATGGCGGCGGCGGCGTCCTCGAGCGCGGTCCAGCGGCACTCGTCCCGGAGCCGCCGCGCCGCCGCCGCCAGCTTCTCGTTCCTCCACGAGTCGGCCCGGGACAGGATCGGGTGGGAGGCGCGGATCCTCGCCTCGGCCGCCGCAAGACCCGCCTCGATCTTTTTGCGGACGCCTTCTTCAGCTCTAAATAAATAAGCTGTCATTGGAGACTTAAGATGTAAGATATCAATGCAATTTCCGACAAAATTAGCTATAATCAACAATATTATGATGCGAATTATTTTTTTAAGTTAATTTTAATAATGGATATAGTAACCGGCAAACTTCTTGAGCAAATGACCTTGACTGCGCAGAACCGAATTTTAGATCACTTTGGTGGTGAGGGTGAGGCGCGACGGCAGGGGAAATCGTATCGAGCGCTTTATTGGTAGATCAGTCGAACCTTGCGTCCCGCACCGCGCCTTCATTCCGCTTGCTCCCAAAAGTACGCTTGCGTACAGTGGATAGTCTATCGTTATTAATCGTTAATTATTTGTTATAATTACTTCTGGACTTTGTTGCCATTGCTATTTGTTGAGTGTTTGTTGATTTTTTATAAAACATACACTATGCCGCGACAAACTGGTGTAGTATTCAAAAGAAAGGGTAGAAAAATTGTGTACGACGTATATTGCTTCATTATAAAACAGGGGAAGAATGATATGGAAAAATTAAAACAAACTTCGGAAGTAACAAAACCATCAGTGAGTACTGTTAGGTGCATTATTAAGGAAGCTAAAGGCTCTGGCTTGCTCGCCGTGTTTCAGACTTCGGGTAAGAAAAGATCAGGGAAGAAGAAAGTTACCGGAATGGATAGTTTCGTTCAATCTGTAATAAAAATATGTAATCATAATAACTACATAACAAGCAGCGAAACTCCGTACCGTAGAAAGGCTTCGAAAAATTTAAAGAAGATATAAATTTTAATGGCTCGGAATGAAGCTTACGACGAATTATGAAAGAGCTAGGCTTCAGATGGAAAAAAAGAACAGAAAATAATCGGAAGCTGGTAAATGAAAAAAGTGACATTCGATTACTACGAATCGAATATCTTCAAAAAATAATTAATTATAGACAAAAAAGAAGACCGAATCGACCGAGTTGTAAACTACACCGATGAGCCCTATGTCGACTCATCACGATGATAGCGACTCGGGTGATGAAAACAGTGATGATGATGATGGTCAAGATTATGATAACGAAAAAAAAAATTACAAATACCAGCTTCGCTTCAACTGAATAAAGACCTGGCAACAGCTCTAGTTTTGACTTAATAGAAGGAATATCTATTTTACCTCAAGATTAAATTATTACAATTATTATAACCTATATGTTTTGTTGATGTTCTAATAAATATTAAATAAATACATATGTTCATTTTAATAATTTAATAGCATTATGACGCAGTGTAAGTAATGTTTTTGCACGTGATTGTACCATGCGCGAACTTACCCCCACTACGTCGACAAATGCTCAAGAAGTTTGCCGGCTATTATACTAGTATTAAAAACGTGAACGTTTGTATGTTTGCAAAATTCAGATTTGAAAGAAAATTTCAATTTATAATCTGGACAATCAAGATTTAAGAATCGATTGACTGAGTTTGGTGCTTATAACGTTATTTTAGATTTAGATGGGTGAGGAGTAGTACCTGTGCAGCGCGAGGTGCGCCCGCAGCTGCGCCACCAGCAGCTCGGGCAGGCCGGGGCCCAGCGCCCGCAGCGCGTCGCTGGCCCGCACGGCGCCGCACACGCGCGACACGTACTCGCGCATGCCGCACTCGCGCACCGCCTGCCGGCCACTCGCTACACACGGGCCCACGTGGGGTCCTCTTATAGGGGGCGCGGGGCGGGCCTCGGGAAAACCTCGCCTGGGCTTTCAAAAGCCTCTGGCTCGGGGGTCCTTGTGCATATATAGCACGACCCCCCACCCCCTACCCCCCAACCGGAACTCATCGCTGCGTTCGCGGCAATAACAGGGAGCTTGGAAATTTGTATCTTTTTCCTTTGTTTGATTTTTATTACAGGATACTTTTACGACCTTCATCGTAGAAGACATTCGTGAACACGAATTAAATAGATATTTTTTCATTGGGTTTTTTTCTACCTAAGCTAATGGTCTTGAGAGACCATTTCAGCGTAACTTTAACTAGTAGGTGAGCTCAAGGGGACTCAAATCTGACGTTGTTGCTAACACGAACCCTAGTAAGAGTAGTGCTCCGCAGAATCTACCACCGGATCAGAAACGTGACCTAATGAGATGATCCGGCGAGAAACTCATTGGGCTGTGTCTATGGGTTAATTTACTCGTGGAACCCTTCGTCGCAAGCGACGGGTTCGACGAGAACGTTGACCGGTGCTTGAGGTACCTAAAAGCACCATTAGTGGATCGGGAAGATCCGTAATGGCGTGTTTAGGGCGACGTCGACTGTTTACCATTCGGTCTGCAGGATCGGGAATGCCTCTCCATCTTTTTTTTATGATTGAGTGTTTACTGGTGGCCCGGAGGCCTTTCCAGTTTCACAAGGACAGGACGCGCCTCCGTCTTGGGGGCCCTTGTACATATATAGCACAACCCCCTCCCCTACCCCCCCAACCGGAACTCATCACAGCGTTCGCGGCAGAAACAGGTAAAAATTGTATCTGAGTGCAAGATTTGCGATACGAGCGTACTGGACGTCTTATCCTTTCTCGTATGTCGTATCACTCTTGACAGAGCGGTCGTGGTCGTCATCCAGCATCATTGTTGTGGGCAGATGTTATGCGCCTCACGAGCAATCGCCACTTATCCTTTAGTTAGGGAGTTGTAATTTTCGTTACGAACTTGGACACTTGCTGCGAAGTGGGTCGTGAGGTCATTGACCGACCTAGCGCAATAAAGAGGTATATGAAATTCGTTAATTAGTTGCTTAGAAGAGGCCGTTAATCACGATGACTAACCTCCTCGATATCCTTCAGAGGCATCTTCTCCCGCGCGAGATGGGCAGCCTGCTGTTCCCGGAAGTGCAGGAACCAGCCGCGGGCCTCGCGCTCCAGCACGGCCTGCAGCGGACCCAGGGCACTCCTCATCACCTCGCGACGGTACAGACGCAGGTCAACCTGCACCCGATATACTTACTTATTATCAAGTAATAAAATACTACCTACTTATTATTTATCTTATTATTATATACTAGTTATTATAACATTATTTATCGCGATTTCACTGAAGTAAAATTGTGTGTAAGTAGGAACTTCATTGTAAAATTTGATTAAAATTCATTTCATGATTAAAATTTTATTAAATTTTTGACTTTCAGCGGTGTTGCAAGCGCTATGACCGCGCCTAAAATATCGGTGAGTAGCATATCATTAATATTCAATACTAGTATAATAACCGGCAAACTTCTTGAGCATTTGTTGACGTAGTGGGGGTAAGTTTGCGCATGGTACACTCACGTGCAAAAACATTACTTACTCTGCGTCATAATGCTATTAAATTATTAAAATCAACATATGTATTTATTTATATATTTATTAGAATATCAACAAAACATATAGGTTAATAATTGTAATAATTTAATCTTGGGGTAAAATAGATATTCCTTCTATTAAGTCAAAACTAGAGCTGTTGCCAGGTCTTGGTTCAGTTAAAGCGAAGCTGGTATTTGTAATTTTTTTTTCGTTATCTTAATCTTGACCATCATCATCGTCACTGTTTTCATCACCCAAGTCGCTATCATCGTGATGAGTCGACATAGGGCTCATCGGTGTAGTTTACAACTCGGTCGATTCGGTCTTCTTTTTTGTCTATAATTAATTATTTTTTGAAGATATTCGATTCGTAGTAATCGAATGTCACTTTTTTCATTTACCAGCTTCCGATTATTTTCTGTTCTTTTTTTCCATCTGAAGCCTAGCTCTTTCATAATTCGTCGTAAGCTTCATTCCGAGCCATTAAAATTTATATCTTCTTTAAAATTTTCGAAGCCTTTCTACGGTACGGAGTTTCGCTGCTTGTTATGTAGTTATTATGATTACATCTTTTTATTACAGATTGAACGAAACTATCCATTCCGGTAACTTTCTTCTTCCCTGATCTTTTCTTACCCGGAGTCCGAAACACGGCGAGCAAGCCAGAGCC